ATTGGGGGAGGGGGGTCACTGGAAGCCCCCCAGGATCCCCCTCCTCTTGGTTTGACTGGACAGACGGATGAGATCCTGGATATTGTTGATTTTGTTATTTCATATTTTGTTATGACGTATTTTTATTGTGTGTTTATTCTCAAGCCTGACCTCAGTGAACTGAATTGGGGGAGGGGGGTCACTGGAAGCCCCCCAGGATCCCCCTCCTCTTGGTTTGACTGGACAGACGGATGAGATCCTGGATATTGTTGATTTTGTTATTTCATATTTTGTTATGACGTATTTTTATTGTGTGTTTATTCTCAAGCCTGACCTCAGTGAACTGAATTGGGGGAGGGGGGTCACTGGAAGCCCCCCAGGATCCCCCTCCTCTTGGTTTGACTGGACAGACGGATGAGATCCTGGATATTGTTGATTTTGTTATTTCATATTTTGTTATGATGTATTTTGTTATTGTGTGTTTATTATGTTGTATTATTTCGGGCTTGGCCTCGTGTTAGCCGCCCAAGATGGTGGGGAGATGGTGGTGGGTTATAAATAAAGATTATTATTATTATTATTATTATTATTATTATTATTATTATTAGGTCAGTGTCCAGATATTCTGTAAAGGAGGGGATAGGGAAACCACCCCCCCAAAAAAAAACCTGAAAAAATGAGGGCTGAAAAGGGCGGTATATAAATACAGTATATAAAGAGAGCCCCCCCCCCCCCCCGTAGCGCAGTGGGTTAAATCACTGAGCTGCTGAGCTTGTTGACCAAAAGGTCGCAGGTTCGATTCCAGGGGAGCGGCGTGAGCTTCCGCTGCCAGCCCTAGCTTCTGCCAACCTAGCAGTTTGAAAACATGCAAATGTGAGTAGATCAATAGGTACCGCTCCGGCGGGAAGGTAACAGCGCTCCATGCGGTCATGCTGTCCACATGACCTTGGAGGTGTCTATGGACAACGCTGGCTCTTCGGCTTAGAAATGGAGATGAGCACCACACCCCAGAGTCAGACATGACTGGACTTAATGTCAGGGGACTACCTTTACCTTTTTAAATAAATAGATAAATAGATAAATAATAAATAAACCCCACCATTGCCCTTTTTGGGGAATGGGGGGCAGGTGAGGGTCTCATGGAGCAGCGGAGGATCATGAAGGAGGGAGACAGAGCAGGTGGGGGGGGCATAATGGGGGTGGAGTTTTGCTTCCTCCCCCCACAATTGCCCCTTCAACTGCAACGTAACCCAGGACCCCCAACCCAATTTGGGGGTCCACTGGTGAAAGGAGCTGAAGGCCTCCCTGAGTTCCTTTAGGGAATGGGGAGGGATATAAATAAAGTTGTTGTTATTATTATTATTATTATTCTCCTGGTCCACCCCTTCCTCCGGCCTGCCTGCCTCTGCCCCCCGTTCTGGTAGTCCGGGGCCGGGGGCCCGGTCGACCGGGGGTCCAGTAGACCGGAAGGAGAAGACCGGAGGTGAGGAGAGGGGTGCCGCCAGGCGAGCAGAAGGTCTCACAATCCAGGAGCGGGCCGTTAGGAAGGGAGGCCGTATTATTATTATTATTATTATTATTATTATTATTATTATTATTATTAGGCACAAAGTGGGGGAGAGGGAGGAGGGAGATCCAGGACCCCCCCCCCCCCAAATTAAGATCCTGGTTAAGACAAGGCCTCCCCAACTCCACTGAAGGCACAGAGTGGGAGTTAGAGAGGAGGGAGATCCAGGACCCCCAATTAAGATCCTGGTTAAGACAAGGCCTCTCCAACTTGACCAAAAACACATTGCTGGGCACAGGAGGAGGGGGATCCAGGACCCCACCACAACTTCCTTAAGATCCTGGGCAGAGGCGGCCCTAGGTAATTTTCCACAGTAAGCAAACAGTATTTTGCCCCCCCCCCCCCAACCAATCATTGATATATATTTTCTGTTCGTCGTGGGAGTTCTGTGTGCCATATTTGGTTCAATTCCATCATTGGTGGAGTTCAGAATGCTCTTTGATTGTAGGTGAACTATACATCCCAGTAACTACACTTGCCGCACTTGCTCCCTTGCCTGGCCCGCTTTGGGTCCGGAGGCGTGCCTGAAGACCCCGGCGTGTGCACCCAAAGTCACCTCTTCTCCTGACTTTCTCCTCAGCCATTGGGACCAGGAGAGAGAGAGAGAGAGAGAGGTGGAGATGCCCACCTTTCCTGAAGGTAGGCGCAAAAACAAAGGAGGGAGCGGAGGTGGGAGATACCTCCAGCCGGAGGGGCTCTCTCTCTCTTGGTCCCAATGGCTGAAGAGAAAGTCAGGAGAAGAGGCGACTTTTGGTGCGCACGCTGGGGTCTTCAGACACGCCTCCAGACCCGAAGCGGGCCAGGCGTGGCGGCTCCGCCCCTTGGCCCACCCGCGGATTGGGGAGAGGAGAGGAGGCGGGTTCAGTGCCGGGGGATCGGGAAAGGGAGCCGGTCATGGGGAAGGGATCGAACGCGGAGAACGATTGAGCGCTGGCTCTGCTCGTGCACCCGGTGGCCGGGTGGAGCAGGAACGAGAGGGGCTAGGCGAGGCTCAAGGGCCCGGCCCCTTTGGGAAGAGGATCGCCCAGCAGTGAGGCAAGAAAGCCGAGGCTCCCCCCGGACTGCTAGGGCTGTTGTGAGCTGAGGGGGCGCTCCTCAAGTGGCGGTCGAGGGGCATTTACAGAGGCGCCTCTGCGCCCCTGGCAAAAAAAAGGTGTTCTGCGACCGCTTACTTCGCGTAATGGACGAGCCGCCCCTGATCCTGGGTAAGACAAAGCCTCCCCAACTTCACCTATGGTACAGAGTGGAGGAACGGAGGAGGGAGATCCAGGATGCCTCAATTAAGGCTCCTCGAACCCCACCATTGCCCTTCTTTGGGAATGGGGGGCAGGTGAGGATCTCATGGAGCAGTAGAGAATCATGAAGGGGAGAGGGATAGAGAGCAATGGAGGCACAGAGAGAGAGAGAGAGAGACCATTTGCAAAGACCGTTTATTGAACCAGAGTCTGAAGAGAGACTGACTGACAGACAGACAGATTGGGGGGACATAGTGAGGGTGGAGTCTAAGCTGGGCGGTTGCTTCCTCCCCCCCACAATTCCCCCTTCAATTGCAAGGAGGAGCCCGCGTAACCCCAGACCCCCAACACAATTTGGGGTCTCCCCTGAGTTCCTTTGGGGAGATGGGGCGGGATATAAATAAAGTTGTTGTTGTTGTTGTTGTTGTTGTTGTTGTTGTTAGGCACATAGTGGGGGAGAGGGAGGAGGGAGATCCAGGACCCCCCCCCCATTAAGATCCTGGGTAAGACAAGGCCTCCCCAGCTCCATGAAGGCACAGAGTGGGGGTCCCGTCCCCACCATTAAGACCCTGATTAAGACAAGGCCTCCCTCATTCGAGCAAAGGCACAGAGTGGGGAAGAAGGAGAGCCAGGACCCCCACCCCCTCTATTAAGATCCTGAGTAAGACAAGGCCTCCCCAAACTCTACCTAAGGCACAGAGTGGGGCACAAGAGGAGGGAGATCCAGGACCTTCTAAAGATCTAAAGATCCTGGGTAAGACAAAGCCTCCTCAACTCTACTGAAGGTACAGAGTGGAGGAGAGGACAATCCAGGACCCCACCATCCTCCCCAACTCTACCAAAGATACAGAGTGGGGCAGAGGAGGAGGGAGATCCAGGACCCCACCACAACTCAAGATCCTGGGTAAGACAAAGCCTCCCCAACTCTACTGAAGGCACAGAGTGGAGGAGAAGGAGATCTAGGATCCCACCATGAAGATCCTGGGTAAGACAAGACCTCCCAAACTCAACCAATGGCACAGAAGGAGGAAGATCCAGGACCCCACCACAACTTCCTTAAGATCCTGGGTAAGACAAGGCTTCCCCAACTCAACCAAAGGCACAGAGTGGGGCAGAAGAGGAGGAAGATCTAGAACCTTGCCACAACTTCCTAAAGATACTGGGTAAGACAAAGCCTCCCCAACTCAACTGATGGCACAGATTGGGGGAGCAGGAGGAGGGAAATCCAGAACCCCACCACAACTTAAGATCCTGGGTAAGACAAAGCCTCCCCAGCTCTACTGAAGGCACAGAGTGGAGGAGAGGACAATCCAGGACCCCACCATGAAGATCCTAGGTAAGACAAGACCTCCCCAAGTCTACCAAAGATACAGAGTGGGGCAGAGGAGGAGGGAGATCCAGGACCCCACCACAACTTAAGATCCTGGGTAAGACAAAGCCTCCCCAACTTAACCGATGGCACAGGAGGAGGGAGATCCAGAACCCCACCACAACTTCCTAAAGATCCTGAGTAAGACAAAGCCTCCTCAACTCTACTGAAGGCACAGAGTGGAGGAGAGGACAATCCAGGACACCACCATGAAGATCCTGGGTAAGACAAGCCCTCCCCAACTCAACGGATGGCACAGAGTGGAGGAGAGGACAATCCAGGACCTCACCATGAAGATCCTGGGTAAGACAAGCCCTCCCCAACTCAACGGATGGCACAGAGTGGAGGAGAGGACAATCCAGGACACCACCATGAAGATCCTGGGTAAGACAAGCCCTCCCCAACTCAACGGATGGCACAGAGTGGAGGAGAGGACAATCCAGGACCTCACCATGAAGATCCTGGGTAAGACAAGCCCTCCCCAACTCAACGGATGGCACAGAGTGGAGGAGAGGACAATCCAGGACACCACCATGAAGATCCTGGGTAAGACAAGCCCTCCCCAACTCAACGGATGGCACAGAGTGGAGGAGAGGACAATCCAGGACACCACCATGAAGATCCTGGGTAAGACAAGCCCTCCCCAACTCAACGGATGGCACAGAGTGGAGGAGAGGACAATCCAGGACCTCACCATGAAGATCCTGGGTAAGACAAGCCCTCCCCAACTCAACGGATGGCACAGAGTGGAGGAGAGGACAATCCAGGACACCACCATGAAGATCCTGGGTAAGACAAGCCCTCCCCAACTCAACGGATGGCACAGAGTGGAGGAGGGGGAGGCTGTGGGGAGGGGGGGGGAGAGGAGGGAGAGGAGGTAGTTGGTGCAGCAGCAGAAGCATCCATGGAAGGAAGGAAGGAAGGACGGACAGACAGACAGATGGAGACAGAGGAGAAGGAGGAGGTGAGGTCTGGCAAAGTGAGGAGGGGTCTCAAAGGGAGGTGATGTCGTTCAAGGCGTTGTCCAGCTCCTCGCTGATGGCTTTGTACTTCATCTTCTGGGCATAGACCTCATCTGTTGTTGTGGTGGTGGTTGTTGTTGGGGGAGGTGGGGGGAAGTGAGGAAGTCCAAGCAGAGAAGTGCCAGGGGAGGGGGTTCCGAAAAGGGGAGGGGGTGCGAAATGAGAAAAGAGGGAAAGTGAGGGGAGTGAAAGAGGAAGAAAGTGAGGAAGGGGTGGGGAAAGAAGGAGAGGTGCTTCCAGGAGGGGAGTCCACCCCATTCCTCTTTCTTCCCCCCATTTCCCAAAAGCAGCCCCCCCCACCTCAAAATTGAGGGACGCCTCACCTTCCAGTTCATCAATGGTTTTCTCCAACTTCGCCACGGACTTCTCCGAAAACTCCACTCGGGTCTCGGCCTGCAAAGTAGCGTTTTATGGGGAGGGGCTGCACTGCATGGCCAACTTCGCAACCCCCTCCCCACAATTCCCCCCTCCCCAATTGGTCTCTTGTGGAAGGAATGGCCTCTGTGGCTCTTATTCCTTTCATATCCCACTTTTCGGCCCAAACTGTGACTCAGAGATGGCTTAGAACCCTCCTCTGGAGGTATTTTAAGGAGAGGCTGGATGGACATCTGTTGGGAGGGCTTTGAATGTGCCTGGTGGTGGTTTGGCCCTTAAACACCCTCCAAAATAAGTAAGGCATTTTTTTGTGCCCTTTTGCCCCCAAACCAGCTCCAATCTTGATGTAGGGCCCTAACTTATTGGCACAAGGTGGGGCATTATTATTATTATTATTATTATTATTATTATTATTATTATTATTTGTTTATTTATTTATAACTTCTGCCAGCTTCTGCCAACCTAGCAGTTCAAAAACATGCAAATGTGAGTAGATCAATAGGTACCGCTCCGGTGGGAAGGTAACGGCGCTCCATGCAGTCATGCCTGCCACATGACCTTGGAGGTGTCTATGGACAACGCCGGCTCTTCGGCTTAGAAATGGAGATGAGCACCACAGCCCAGAGTCAGACACGACTGGACTTAATGTCAGGGGAAAACATTTACCAATGTTTATTGATACCCCGCTTTCTTCCCTCCACAAAGGAGACCCAAATGGGGCACTGGCTCTGCACACGGGGCACCCCAGGCTCAGTCCCCAGAATCCCCAAGACATATATCTAGGGAGCCCCCCCCCCCCACTCTCCATCTCATCTGGAGTTGGAAGAGGCCCCAAGGGCCATCTATCCAACCCCCTTCTGCACGGCAGGAAAAGCTCAGTTAAAGCCCCTCTGACAGATGGCCTTCCAGCCTTTGTTTAAAAGCCTCCAAAAAAGGAGCTTTCACCACTCTCTCTCTCTGAGCCCACCTTCCAGCCTCCCCGCTCTCTCCCAAAGCAAAAAGGACTTCCTTCCTGGATTCAAAGCCCATCTCTTCCAGCAGAAAACATACCCAGCCGTTTCCCTCCCTCACCCTTTTTTCTTTCTTTCCTTCCTTCCTTCCCTCCCTCCCTCTTTTCTTCCTTCCTTCCTTCCCTTTTTCTTTCCTTCCTTCTTCCTTTTCTTTTCATCACGGACCCCAACTACACCACAATAATTTCCTCCAATTAACATCCCTCCGCTTTTGGCACCCTCACCTTCCTCTCCTTTCCTCCTCTTTCCTTCCTCCCCTCACTTCTTTTCCTTTCCCTTTTTCTTCCTTCCTTCCTTCCTTCCTCCTTCTCTTCTTTCCTTCTCCTTTCCTTCCTTCCTTCCTTCCCTCCCTCCTTTTCTTCCATCCTTCCCTCTTTTCTTCCTTCCCCTTTCCTTCCTCTTTCCCCTCTTCTTTTCCCCCTCCTTTCCTCCCTCCCTCCCTTCCCTTTTTCCTCCCTCCCTCCCTCCTCCTTTTCCTCCTTTTCCTTCCTCCCCTTCCCCTTTTTTTCCTTTTTTCCTTCCTTCCTTCCTTCCTTTCTCCTTCCTTCCTTCTTCCTTCCTTTCTTCCTTCCTTCCCTTCCTTCCTTTCCTTCCTTCCTTTTTTTTCCTCCTTCCTCTTTCTTCCTTCCCTTCCTTCCCTCTTCCCTCCTCTTTCCTCCCTCCTTTCTCCCTCCCTCCCTCTCCCTTTTTCCTTCCTTCCTTCCCCTTTTTCCTTCCTTCCCTCCCTCCTCCTCCCTCCTCCCTTCCTTCCTCCTTCCTTCTTCCTTCCTTCTTCCTTCTCCTTTTTCTTTCCTTCCCTCCTCCCTCCTTCCTTTTCCCTCCCTTTTTTCTTCCTCCTTTCCTCTTTCCTTCCTTTCTTCCCTCCCTCTTTTCTTCTTCTCTTTTTTTTCCTTCCTTCCTCTTCCTTCCTTCCCTCTTTCCTTCATCCCTCTCCTTCCTTCCTTCTTCCCTTTCCTTCCTTCCCTCCTACCTCTTTCCTTCTTCCCTTTTCTCCTTCCCCTTTCTTCCCTCCTTCCCCCTCTCTCTTTCTTCCTTCCTTCCCTCTTCCTCCCTTCCTTCCTTCCTTCCTTCCTTCCTTCCTTCCTTCCTTCCTTCCTTCCTTTCCTTTCCTTCCCTCTTCCTTCCTTCTTCTTTCCTTCCATCCTTCCCTTCCTCTCTTTCGTCCGGTCTTTCTTTCTTTCTTTCTTTCTTTCTTTCTTTCTTTCTTTTCTTTTTTTCTTTTCTTTTCTTTTCATTTCTTCCTTTCTTTCCTCCTTCCCTTATAAAACACCAACATGTCCCCCTCGCAGCACCCAAAGCAAAGGGGCGAAGAGACCCCTCACCCACCGGCCTCTTACCTCCTTGAGTTTTTCTGTCAGCAGATGGATCTCCTCCTCGTATTTGTCCTCCTTGGTGGCATACTGGATGGGGAGAGGGCAATCATTCAGTGCCCACCCTGGGAACCCTCCTCTTGGACCAGCCCCCAACCCCTTTTCCAGAAGGTGACCCCGTCCCACCCCAGCAGCGCTTCTGCACCTGCGCACAGGTGCACACAGGTGACCCCCCCCCCGTACCTTGTCGGCCTGGGCCTCCAGGGACTTGAGGTTGTTGGTGACAATTTTCAGCTCTTCCTCAAGGTCCCCACATTTACTGAGTGAGAGAGGAAAGGAAGGAAGGAAGGAAGGAAGGAAGGAAGGAAGGAAGGAAGGAAGGAAGAAAGAAGGAAGAAAGAAAGAAGGAGGAGGGAGGGAGGAAGGAAGGAAGGAAGGAAGGAAGGAAGGAAGGAAGGAAGAAGGAAGAAGGAAGGAAAGAAGGGAGGAGGGAGGGAGGGAAGGAGGAGGAAGGAAGGAAGGAAAGAGAAGGAAGGAAGGAGGAAGGAAGGAAGGAAAGGAAGGAAGGACAGAAAAAGAAAGGAAGGAGGAAGAGGAGGGAGGAAGGAAGGAAGGAAGGAAAGGAAGGAAAGAAGGAAGGAAGGAAGGAGGAAGGGAGGGGAAGGAAAGAAGGAGGAGAAAGGGGAGGAGGGGGGAGGGAGGGGAGGAAGGAAGGAAGGAAGGAAGGAAAGAAAGAAGGAAGGAAGGAGAGAAGGAGGGAAGAGAAGGAAGGGAAGGAAGGAAGAAGGAAGAAGGAAGGAAGGAGGAGGGAGGAGGGAGGGAGGGAGGGAAGGGAAGGAAGGAAGGAAGGAAGGAGGAAGGAGGAAGAAGGAAAGAAGGGAGGGAGCGAGGGAGGGAGGGAGGAGGGAGGGAGGGAGGAAGGAAGAAGGAAGGAAGGAAGGAAGGAAGGAAGGGAAGGAAGGAAGGAAGGAAAGAAGGAAGGAAAGGAAGGGAGGGAGGGAGGGAGGGAGGAGGGAGGAGGAAGGAAGAAGGAGAAAGGAAGGAGGAAGGAGGAAGGAAGGAAGGAAGAGGAAGGAAGGAAGGAAGGAAGAAGGAAGGAAGGAAGGAGGAAGGAAGGAAGGAAGGAGGAAGAAGGAAGGAAGGAAGGACAGAAAGAAGAAAGAGGAAGGGAGGGAGGGAGGAAGGAAGGAGGGAGGGAGGGAGGAAGGAAGGAAGGAAGGAAGGAAGGAAGGAAGGAAGGAAGGAAGGAAGGAAGGAAGGAGCAAAAAGGACAGGAAGGAAAGAGAAGGGGAGAAGGTGTTGAGAGCACAGAACAACAGCCCCCAAAGAAAGGAATGGGTCACATTTGCTGCCCCATGTCTGCCTCTCTATCATGGACTTAAATTGTCCTGAAATGCAATGGTTTAAACTCTTGTGCCAGCAGGACTGAAGACCAACCGGTCGGATGTTCAGATCCAGGGATGAGCTTCCTCTGTCAGCTCCAACTTCCCATGCAGGGACATGAGAGAAGCCTCTCACAAGGATGGTAAAACATCTGGGCTTTCTGTGGGCAACATCCTTGCAGACGGCCAATTCTTTCACACCAGAAGTGACTTGCAGTTTCTCCAGTCACTCCTGACACAGAAAAATAAATGCAGGCATGGGTCAACTTTGGCCTGAAGGGGAAGGGGCAGCACCCCCACAATTGGTGCAGAGGCCTCTCCTCCTCAACTGGGCCCCTTCCAAAAGGAATTGCATGGAGAGCCCCTTAAATGGGGAAGGGTCTTGGGTGGTGCAAGGGGCCACACTCCCCATGCCCTGCCCCACATGGCAGCATCCTCGGGGGCTACAAGGGTGGGCTCTGGACCCCTTTCATAGGCAGGGATAGGACAAAGCTGCAAGGACTGCAGAAAGCAGAAGGAGAAAGCAGGCGGTGGAGAGAGTAAGAGGGTAGAGAAAGACAGAGGCAGGGAGGGCATCTCTTCCTCTGCAGCCATCAGGCATTTGAGGGCCTGATCCATAGTACAGTTCCTCTTCAAGATGCCTGACGCGGCTGGGGAGGCAAGTGGGAGGGGGTGTAGGCAGGGTCAGCTCTAGAATGGGGGGCAAAAAGGAATGCAGGGACTGGTCAGTCCCCTCTCACCCCACCCCCCCCCAAAAAGTGTAGGCCCTTGCTTCAAGGAGATGGTCTGGAAGGGATGGGAGATACGTGCAGGAATCAAAGTTCCTGGAGAGGCTGTCCTCCAAAATGGGGAGTGGGCAAATGATGTTGGCCGGCTCTTCCAATCCATCCTACTTGACAGATGCAACTGTCTTTCGGGCTGCAAAGGTCGACAACAAGCTACACAATTTTGGTCGGGAGCTCACTCCAACCCAACCAAGGGAGTGTGGCGCAGCTGGCTGGGAGTCAGCTGCATTAAGATCACTACTGACCGAAAGGTCATGAGTTCGAAGCCAGCCCGGTGGAGTGAGCTCCCGACCAAAATTGTGTAGCTTGTTGTCGACCTTTGCAGCCCGAAAGACAGTTGCATCTGTCAAGTAGGAAATTTAGGTACCACTTATGTGGGGAGGCTAATTTAACTGGTTTACCAAGCCATAAAAATTTCTAGGAAGTATGCAAAGAATGAGGAAGTACTTCATCAGTGTCATCAGTGACACCTCCCCTGGTGGCCAGAAGCTGGAATGTTAAATAGCCTCTGTGTGTCTGTCTATATATGTTGTGTGTCTATGGCAGTGTTTCTCAACCTGGGGGTCAGGACCCCTGGGGGGGTCGTGAGGGGGTGTCAGAGGGGTCACCAAAGACCATCAGAAAACACAGTATATTCTGTTGGTCATGTGTGGGAAGTTTGGCAGAATTGTATCATTGGTGATCTTCAGAATGCTCTTTGATTGCAGGTGAACTATCAATTCCAGCAACTACAACTCCCAAATGTCAAGGTCTGTTTCCCCAAACTCCACCAGTGCTCACATCTGGGCTAATGGAGTATTTGTGCCACGTTTGGTCCAGATACATCATTGCTTGGGTTAACAGTGCTCTCTGGATATAGGTGAACTACAGCTCCCAAACTCAAGGTCAATGCCCACCAAACCCTTCCAGTATTTTCTGTTGGTCATGAGAGTTATCTGTGCCAAGTCTGGTTCAATTGCATTGTTGGTGGAGTTCAGAATGCTCTTTGAATTTAAATGAACCATAAATCCCAGCAACTACAACTCCCAAATGACAAAATCAATCCCCCCACAACCCCACCAGTAGTCAAATTTGGGCATATTGGGTGAGTTACATTACGACTCAGATAGCTACATTACAATTCATACCATTAGCAAAACTACAGTTATGAAGTCACAACAAAAATAACGTTGTGGTTGGGGGTCACCACAACATGAGGAACTGCATTAAGAGGGTCGCAGCATTAGGAACATTGAGAACCACTGTTCTATGGCATTGAATGTTTGCCATGTATATGTACACAATGCCATGTGAACCAAAGAGATGAGATGCCTTCAACCCTCACTTGATGGACACAAGGCAGACCCCCACTCAGAGGACCCCCACCACCAACAGAGAGGGGCCAAACTGCTCCACCGAGGCAAGGGAGTCTTCCTGGTGCAGGTGGACCTGGCGCTACTCACCTCTCAGCCACCTCTGCTCGTTCCTCAGAGCGCTCCAGGTCTCCCTCCAGGATGACTAGCTTCTTGGCCACCTGTTAGAGAAAGAAGAGTCCGGGGTCAACGGAGTCCAGTCCAAGGTCCAGAGACAACAGAGCTGTTGCCCTTGCCTTGACCCCCTGCCCACCCGCCCCTTGCACTCAACAGACCTCCTCGTATTTGCGGTCGGAGTCCTCAGCCACGTGCTTGGCCTCCTTCAGCTGTGAATCCTGGTCCCGCATCTTCTCCTCGTCCTTCATGGCACGGTTCTCGATGACCTTCAAGCCTCTGGAGAAGAAGAAGAAGAGGGACACAGTTGGGTCTAGTCCGGCTCAAGTGTCGGAGTTCAGCCTGTGACTGTGTTTCAGGATCAGGGTGCTTTGGATGTGGAGAATGATGTCAATGAGGTTCAAGATGGCAATGGTTTGGTCAGTGATATTGATGCAGAGAATGACAGAGAGGCAACTGTTCAAAGTGTAGTTTCTCATGAGAATGTTCCTACAAGGTATAGGGTTTACTCCCTGATTTGCTCCCAGAGACTTCCCAGGATTTGGGGCTTGAAAACAACTCAGCACCTGCAGATACTAATGAGCATAGAGATAGACGGGCGGAAATTAGTCAAAACAGACAGGCCGAGCAAGGCCTTTGGCATTCTGCCAGGCTTCAACAGAAAAAGATAAGGGCTGCTCAAAGAAAGCGAAACCAGTTTCTGAGTGGGTTGTTGTAGGTTTTTTCAGGCTGTATGGCCATGTCTTTAGACATGCCTTTAGAACATGGCCATACAGCCCGAAAAAACCTACAACAACCCAGTGATTCTGGTCATGAAAGCCTTCGACAGTACAGTTTCTGAGTGCTTGGAAAGGCTTAAAAGTTCCAAGTGTGGAAAATGCAGTCAGATGAAGCATCATTTAGAATCGTGCCAAGTTCTTGTCCTTGTCTTAGAGAAGCCTTGCTTGGAAGATTTATGCTTAAGGATTTCTTGTTTCCTGGTTTGGTTTTGTGTCTCTTGTGATTAGCTGCTCATGCCTTGGATCAACGTTTCCTGGCTCTTTGGATTTTGTTAGAGAGTTGTGCACTTTGTTTTTGGGCATTGCTGAACTCTACCGTGGACTAATTTGTCCCTGCTTATCTGCTAATTGGATTTACCTATTCCTTTAAAGTGTTTTTTTTTACTTTGCTGTTTTTACTTATCTTCAGTAAAAGGATTGTATGGTCGAAGGCTTTCATGGCCGGAATCACTGGGTTGTTGTAGGGTTTTTTTTTCAGGCTGTATGGGCATGTTCTAGAGGCACTCTCTCCTGATGTTTCGCCTGCATCTATGGCAAGCATCCTCAGAAGTAATGAGGTCTGTTGGAACTAGGAAAAAGGGTTTATATATCTGTGGAATGACCAGGGTGGGACAAAGGACTCTTGTCTGCTGGAGCTAGGTGTGAATGTTTCAACTGACCACCTTGATTAGCATTTGATGGCTTGGCAGTGCCTGGGGGAATCTTTTGTTGAGAGGTGATTAGATGTCCTTGTTTATTTCCTCTCTGTTATTGTGCTGTTGCAATTTTAGAGTTTTTTAATACTGGTAGCCAGATTTTGTTCATTTTCATGGTTTCCATAGCAGAGCACCTGATGAACCAACCTGGACACAGCAGATTATTATTTGAGAACCCAGAAATGCTGGACCACTCTCACAACCACCCTGTCAGACGACACAGAGAAGCCATTGAAACCTACAAGAAGCATGTGGACAGTTTCAACAGAGAGGAGGAAACCATGAAAATGAACAAAATCTGGCTACCAGTATTTAAAAAACTCTAAAATTGCAACAGCAAAACAACAGAGAGGAAACAAACAAGGACATCTGGGGGTTGAAGACCAAAGCATCTGGGGACCCACAGGTAGAGATCCACCCGTTTAAAGAAAGTGTGAATATTGCAGTTAGCAAGCTTGAATAGCAGAGTAGGCTTGCATCTGCAAAGTCAATCAGTGAGGGCATCTGCAGAGAGGTAGCCTGGCCTTTGTTGCCTGGAGGCATCCTCTGCTTGGGAGGTGTTCGCTGGCCCTTGATTGAGGTTGTCATGAATGGTGGTAGTTCATAGAATCCTTGAGTTGGAAGAGACCTGATGGGCCATCCAGTCCAACACCTTGCCAAGAAGCAGAGAAATTGCATTCAAAGCACCCCCAACAGATGGCCATTCAGCCTCTGTTTAAAAGCCTCCAAAGAAAGACCCTCTACCATACTCTGGGGCAGAGAGTTCCACTGCTGAACAGCTCTCACAGTCTGGAAGTTCTTCCTAATGTTCAGGTGGAATCTCCTTACTTGTAGTTGAAGTCCGAAACACAGGAGGGAAGGCCAAAGTTTGCTCACGCCTGTACTAGAACATGGCCATACAGCCTGGAAAACTCACATCAACTCTACATATATTTGGTTTGTTTCGATGCTGTCGTTTTTCTTTCCTGTATTTTGCATTATTGTTATAAACCACCTTGAGGGGCTAGTATCTTAAGGAGGAGGGGAGGCTCAAAGCTAATAATAAATCAATAATAATATATATAAATAATAAAAAATAATAAAAAGATAGGGTGGGAAGGGGGAAATCTTCCTAGCAACTCCTTTGTGTGGCAGAACTGTGACTGAAAGGAGGGACAAGGAGCAGGGCAACTGCCCCCTCCCCCAGATGTGCCCCCAAATGTCTTGGGGCACCCCCCCCCCGAGACCCCCCACCTCTCGCTCTCATCCACCAGCTTCTCGGTCTCCTCCAGCTTCTGCAGAGCGGTGGCCAGACGCTCCTGGGCCCGGTCCAACTCCTCTTCCACCAGCTGGATGCGTCGGTTCAGGGAGGCCACATCGGACTCTGCCTGCAAAGCAAAGCAAGGGAGAGAGTGTGGGAATGCGCATTGGTCAGCAGGAGAGCGTGCGTCGGACGCCATGCACAGCAGACCCTCCTCGGCCTGCCATCCCTTGAGCTGAGCCACCCAACAGCCTTCCCATTAGGCGCATTATAGGCGCATTATAGCACTGGGGGTTCCCACCCTGCACTCTGCAGGTCTGTGTGCAGAGATATGTTTTTGTTTTGTTTTGTTTTGTTTTGTTTTGATTGATCGTTTTAACTTGGTGTTCTTTGGGCTTGTCCCTTTGTAAGCCGCCCCGAGTCCCCTAAGGGAGATGGAGGCAGGGTATAAAAAGAAAGTTATTATTGGGTTGTTGTAGGTTTTTCCGGGCTATATGGCCATGTTCTAGAGGCATTTTCTCCTGACGTTTCGCCTGCATCTATGGCAAGCATCCTCAGAGGTAGTGAGGTCTGTTGGAACTAGGAAAATGGGTTTACTCTCAACAAAAGATTCCCCCCAGGCACTTCCAAGCCATTAAATGCTAATCAAGGTGGTCAGCTGAAACATTCACACCTAGCTCCAGCAGTCAAGAGTCCTTTGTCCCACCCTGGACATAATTCCACAGATATATAAACTCATTTTCCTAGTTCCAACAGACCTCACTACCTCTGAGGATGCTTGCCATAGATGCAGGTGAAATGTCAGGAGAGAATGCCTCTAGAACATGGCCATATAGCCTGGAAAAACCTACAACAATCCAGTGATTCCGGCCATGAAAGCCTTCGACAATACGAAGTTATTATTACATATTATTATGGAAGGAACCCGTTGTCTGGCGCAAGCAGGACAGAGGGACAAATCATTGCAAATCATGGAGAAGGCCCCTTTCTGCAACATTGCTGTCATGACATTCTGCTCCGGAAGAGGATCAGCCATTTAGGTTTGTTAATGACCCAGAAAGGTTGCCGTCAGAGTGAGCAGGAGCTCAGGCGAGACGTGTTGGAGGCAATGACTTACTTACTTAGGCGATCCCTCGTTGTCCAAGTAGGATGATCTTCTAAGGTGGGTCCGTAGGTGACTGTGGAGCCCTCTTCTTGACCTGCATCTTCTCCCACAGTGAGGGCATCGGTTTCCAGGTGGAAGGTGGTCCTGGTTGGGGTTGGCTTGATGTGTCCTCTCTTGGCACCTTTCTCCCTTTTGCCCTCCATTTGTAATTCTTCAAATTTTACAGCACTGCTGGTCACAGCTGACCTCCAACTGGGCTTCCCAGTTCTCAGTGTCTATGCCAGAGTTTTTGAGGCTGGCTTTGAGCCCACCTTTAAATCTCATTTCCTTTCCACCAACATTCCATTTTCTGTTCTTGAGTTCGGAGTAGAGCAACTGCTTTGGGAGATGGTTGTCGGGCATCCGGACAACATGGCCGGTCCAGCGGAGTTGATGGCGGAGGAGCATCGCTTCAGTGTTGGTGGTCTTTGCTTCTTCCAGCACGCTGATATTTGTCTGCCTGTCTTCCTAGGAGATTTGCAGGATTTTCCAGAGGCAGGGCTGATGGAACCGTTCCAGGAGTTGCATGTGACGTCTGTAGACAGTCCACGTTTCGCAGGCGTATAGCAGGGTTGGACAATGTGGCCGGTCCAGCGGAGTTGATGGCGAAGGACCATCACTTCAATGCTGGTGGTCTTTGCTTCTTCCAGCATGCTGACGTTTGTCCGCCTGTCTTCCCAAGAGATTTGCAGGATTTTCCGGAGGCAGCGGAATCGTTCCAGGAGTTGCATGTGACATCTGTAGACTGTCCACATCTCGCAGGCGTATAGCAGGGTTGGGGGGACAATAGCTTTATAAACAAGCCCCTTGGTATCCCTACGGATGTCCTGGTCCTCAAACACTCTCTGCTTCATTCAGAAAAATGCTGCACTCGCAGAGCTCAGGCGGTGTTGTATTTCAGTGTAAAATGTTGACATCTGTAGACAGTCCACGTCTCGCAAGCGTATAGCAGGGTTGAATCATAGAATCATAGAATCAAAGAGCTGGAAGAGACCTCATGGGCCATCCAGTCCAACCCCATTCTGCCAAGAAGCAGGAAAATTGCATTCAAATCACCCCTGACAGATGGCCATCCAGCCTCTGGTTAAAAGCTTCCAAAGACGAACCTCCACCACACTCTGGGGCTCAGACCCATCTCCTTGGGGGAGAGAGGAGGCTGGAAACGGCACCAAAGGCCGGAGGGTCAGCAAGACAAGCAGGGCTCCTCTTGACCTGATGGGGGCGCCAAAGCTCTGGACAAGACAGACAGGCTCCTTTGGCCAGCTGGCTTCCCTTGACCACATGCCCTTCCTTCCTTCCTTCCTTCCTTCCTGCCTTCTTTCCCCCCCCCTTCCTGCCCCATCCCCTCCTAAATACATGTAATGCAGCTTGACCTGGAACCATAGACTCACAAACCCTGAGGCAGAGAGTTCCACTGCTGAACAGCTCTTCAATATTCCTGCTTCTTGGCAGAATGGGGTTGGACTGGATGGCCCATGAGGTCTCTTCCAACTCTTTTGATTCTATGATTCTATGATTGATACGTGGCTCTCCTGTCTCCTCTCAGCCTTCTCTTCTGCAGGCTAAACAGACCCAGAGCTTGAAGATGCTCCAACTGCCATGACTCAGTGGGATGGAATCCCAGGAGTTGCAACTGGACACGGCCTTGAGCCTTCTCTGCCCAAGAGCGACGGGGTCTCATCTACTGACAATTCCCAGGACCCCTGTAGCATTGCCTTCCATGGAGAGTCAAACTGCATTCCTGCTGCAATGCCTCATATCTCCTTTTCGGGATCTGCCCTGGAACTGTCCGGAGACTCCTGCCCTGAAGCCTGGGGGGGGGGGGGGGGGGGGGGGGTCCCCTTGCTTGAGGGGCAGAGCCATTCCCTGCCCATCTCAGGCTCCTTTGCACCTCCTCCTTGCCTCTGATCTCCTGAGCAAGTGCAGAGAGCCAGAGATGCCTTTTTGTCCATCCTCCCCCCACAGGAAGCCCAAGTACAGCCTGGGAGGGGCCCCAGATCCTGTCCCATGGAGGGGCCCCTTGGCAGGAGACGCAGCCCCCAAAGATACCCTCACATTCCTCGTCCCACAGAAGACAGGAGGGGCTTTGGGGCAGCAGAGGGGAAGGGGCCAGACCAGCAGAGGAGGGGGCTTCACCCTGAGCCTGGGTCCCCCCTCTCTCCCTGAGCAAGTGCAGAGAGCCAGAGATGCCTTTGTCCATCCCCCCCCCCCTTCCAGAAAGCCCAAGTACAGCCTGGGAGGGGCCCCAGATCCTGTCCCATGGAGGGGCCCCTTGGCAGGAGACGCAGCCCCCAAAGATACCCTCACATTCCTCGTCCCACAGAAGACAGGAGGGGCTTTGGGGCAGCAGAGGGGAAGGGGACAGACCATCAGAGGAGGGGGCTGCTATGCCCTCTTTCCTTCCAGAAAGCCCAAGTACAGCCTGGGAGGGGCCCCAGATCCTGTCCCATGGAGGGGCCCCTTGGCAGGAGACGCAGCCCCCAAAGATACCCTCACATTCCTCGTCCCACAGAAGACAGGAGGGGCTTTGGGGCAGCAGAGGGGAAGGGGACAGACCATCAGAGGAGGGGGCTGCTATGCCCTGGGTCCCCCCTCTCTCCCTGAGCAAGTGCAGAGAGCCAGAGATGCCTTTGTCCATCCCCCCCCCCCCACTCCAGAAAGCCCAAGTACAGCCTGGGAGGGGCCCCAGATCCTGTCCCATGGAGGGGCCCCTTGGCAGGAGACGCAGCCCCCAAAGATACCCTCACATTCCTCGTCCCACAGAAGACAGGAGGGGCTTTGGGGCAGCAGAGGGGAAGGGGACAGACCATCAGAGGAGGGGGCTGCTATGCCCTCTTTCCTTCCAGAAAGCCCAAGTACAGCCTGGGAGGGGCCCCAGATCCTGTCCCATGGAGGGGCCCCTTGGCAGGAGACGCAGCCCCCAAAGATACCCTCACATTCCTCGTCCCACAGAAGACAGGAGGGGCTTTGGGGCAGCAGAGGGGAAGGGGACAGACCATCAGAGGAGGGGGCTGCTATGCCCTCTTTCCTTCCAGAAAGCCCAAGTACAGCCT